TGTCGTCCACACTGTTTCTGTGTCCGTCTCCCACTGGACCGGGACTCCGAAAGGCACGGGACCCCCCTGTATCCTCCATCCGCCCAGTGCCCGCCCCGAGCGAGGGCTCAATAAACGATCTGAGCACACCTACTTATCTGTTAAAGTGTCATCTTTTGCCTCCTCCCCTACCACGGGCTCTTCTTCCTCCTGACAATATGGGGTTGGTGCACATTGTCAAAAACAGAAAAAAATGAAAGCGGCCCAGTGACCAAAGTAATTGGCATCACGGGTGTGGGGTATTCCTCCTGATTTTTTCATGTCTAGCTGGCTAGCTAGCTATTTGGTGTTTTTCAAAAAAAAATCTGGAAGCTCTGTCTGCTGATTTTGGCTTGGGGAAGAGTGACTTGGACTCCCTCACCGTGCCCTTCGGCTGGGGTAAGACGCTGGCCCCTGACGCCGCTGCCTGTGAGGTGGGGAAGGGAGGACGCCGGCTGCACAAGCCCGCCGTTGCCACGCAGGCGTTCCAGTTCCTTTTGTGCTTTAAATACTCTCTTCAGTGATTTATGTACTTGGCAAGACATCTGTTTTGTTTTGCATTTTTTAACTTTGAAAAATTCACTTCAGTAAAGTCCGTAAAAACACTCCTTCCCTTTCGACTTTAGATCGTCTCCAGCTTCAAGACCACCACCTCGAGGGCCGTCTGCCAGCTGGTGAAGGAGTACATCGGCCACAGGGACGGCATCTGGGACGTCAGCGTCGCCAGGACACAGCCGGTGGTGCTGGGCACTGCATCGGCAGGTGAGCACAGGCTGACCCCAGCCTGCTGAAGCGCGGCTTTGCTGACCCCTGACGGGGGACTGACGTCAGTTGTCCGTGATCCAGGGATCGCGGGAAGTAAAGGCAGGATGGAGGAGTCACTGGAGCCAACGCGTTTGGCCTGGGTGTGGGAGCTCAGGCTGTGCGCAGTACCCAGACCTGCGTCCTGCCTTCCCGTGTCCTGCGGGTGGTGTCCTGTCTGTGTCCCGCCTTCCCGTGTCCTGCGGGTGGTGGTGTAGCTGTGGGCTGAATATCTGAGGAGGCGCCTACTTGTTTGGGGTGGATTTAACTGTGTTAAGGGCGAATGGTGACGGTAATGTGAGTGGAATAATTTTTAAACACTAGGTGTGTTTTTACTGGCCTTGTTCTTGTGCGCCTCTGAGTAGCAGGTGTAGCTGACACTCTGTAACGCAGGCACAGCGCAGGTGAGGAAAGTGCCGTGGTAACAGCTGAGACACGCATGTTCTCCGGGGAGTGTGGCGTAGTGGAGACTGGTGGGATCCCCCAGGACGTGCAGGAGTCCCGGGGCGTATGTTAGAGAGACTGCTTTCTCTTCCCTAAACAGAAAGATACCTTATAAAACGGTGTCTAAAGTGGCATAATAGCCTTTCAGATAAAAATTGCTAAAATCGAAAATGGTGCTCACTCACTGAAAATGACTTTCCTGGCTTGTGGGCAAGCTAATTACTTGCTAGGTTCTGCTGTTAAAGGCAGAATTGAACGTGATAAAAGCCAACTATGATAAGGTAGGTGATGAAACAAGTTTCTTCTTGTTTGACACTATTAGTGTGTGCTTCAAATTGCTTTAGAAAGCACAATTAAAAAAGAGAGGATAAAAGTTTCCTTTCTGATATTTCAGAAATTTCTTTGGATAGTTGGCATATAGCTCTTAGATTTTCCTGGTAAATCCACTTTAAAAGAAAATAGTGCTTATAAGAGGAAAGGCCCAGAGGGGACTTATTATCTCAAATAGCTGGCGCTGGGTTTGGATGCTGCTCGGATTCAAGTGCTGGAAGATCTGAGAGGTTTAACACTCACGTGAGACAGTGGGACTGAGGTGTGGACCACAGTGCGCAGCCGTCCAGCGCGGCTCGGACGAAACATGGCCTCCGACCTCGGAGACTTTGCTCTGACACATTGAATGTAACAGAGTAATAGAATCAAAGCTGTAAGAGATATTAGTGTGACTTCCCGCTAGAGTATTTATTTACCTTATTCTTTTGTGAAAACGTCTATAAAATCGACGATGGCCAAGCTGCAGCATCTTCCTTTGGCTCTTGCAGACCACACGGCCCTGCTGTGGAGCATCGAGACGGGGCGGAGCCTGGTCAAGTACACGGGCCACGTGGGTTCAGGTGAGCACTGCCGGGCGGGCCCCCCGCCTTGGTTTGTTTCTGAAGTCTTAC